GAGATTAGGATGGTCTCAATGAATAGGCTCTTATTATTCCAAAATTAGCCCCTTTAAGCAATAGCAGTAGAATTCAGCTGGGGAATTCTGGGAGTTGAAGCCTTAGCATCTTAAGTTTCTAAAACAACAACAATATTTTTTTTACCAACTGTCAAAATTGGTAAATGTTTCATCTTAGAACAAAGGACAAGGAAGAAAATTTATTTTAACCCAGTCCAGAATTCTGAACTCACAGACTTTCTAAATATATGGTGAGTGACAGAGAAACTGAAGTCTATTTTTCTCTTTACTATTAAGATATTACAAGGTGTGTGAATGTCATGACTGCATAAATAAATCTCTTCCCCAATGAGCTGTTAAATATGGGGGATTTAACTGAGTCTGGCCATCATATATCAAGCTATGATTCATGGTATGTGAACTAGCACCAAAAGAGTTGGTCTATTAAGTTCTCTAGGAAACTATGGATAACAAGGAAGCCACATTTTCATTCCAAGCTTTCAGATGATTCATAATACATTGCTTTTTGTTTTTGTTTAGTTTTTTAAAAAAACAACTTATATTTACATAATTCCCAGTTTTTCTATAGGGTCTTAAATTTATTTCTCTATTCAAGAAAAATTTCCTGAAGTAATAGTATATTCTTTTCCTGCTCTCCTGCTTTTCTAGTATATGTGTTAGATCTGGGAGGATGGTTCAGGAACGGAGGCAAGACTCAGATAATAACAACAGCTCTTTATTAGTGACTTCAGATCTGAGCAGAGAATCCCAGCCGCAGCAGCCCCTTATATAGGGCTGGCTGCAGCTAGGCAGCCAATGAAGGCGATTTGAGTTTGTCGCTCTTGGCTGGGCCAATCGCGGCAGCCCATTTACTAGCCAATCGCGTCAGTCTGTGGTGACCAATCACGATCTGCTATTCATGGGCCAATCAGAGTTGCAGGCTTTCGAGCCTGCTAGTCCGGAACACCCCTCCCCTCTCGGTTCCGTTTAAGGGGTGGAGTTATATAGTCTCGCTGGTAGGCAGGTCTTCGTACCTGTCTACCTGACTTACGTAATTCCAATTGTTTGTGTTCAAATTTGGGTTCAGATGGACTGCTTGCTGGATCTAGTTGGAGTGGCGAACCAGTGCTATAGTAGGGACTCTCTCCTTATGCCCTCAGGGTGATTGAGTCCTCAGCTTCGTTGCTACCGCTATGGTTTCCCGGACTCTCTGAACGAGTAGTCTATGAAGGGGTTCAGCAACAGTCGCCTTCTGGGGTAGGAAAATGTTATAAAAGTTAATGAGTCCCAGGAAGGCTTGAAGGTCAGTTTTGGGGTCTTGGGGCATTTTTGATGGCTGCCAATTTCTTTTCTGTAGGGTGGATTCCTTGTTTGTCAAGAAGGTAGCCAAGAAATTCTATCCTTTCTGTGCATAACTGGCACTTTTCCTTCTTAACCTTGAGGCCAGCATCTTTGAACCTTTGTAGGACTGTTCTGAGGCATTTCTCTAATTGACTTTTTGTTGGGGCTGCTATCAGTACGTCATCAAAATAGGGCACGACCCCTTTTATGCCTTGCAATAGTCTCTCCATCAGGCTTTGAAAAATGCCTGGCGCTACGCTTACTCCAAACTGGAGCCTGTTACATTTGAATGCATCACGATGTGTAACTATAGTTTGGGCTTCTGCAGTTTCGGTATCAACTGGCAGCTGTTGATACGCTTGGGCCAGATCTAGTTTTGTGAATATTCTGCCACCCCCAAGTGAATGTAGGAGATGCTGAATGACTGGTACCGGATAGGCGCTCTGTTGCAGTGCGTGATTGAGGGTGACCTTGTAGTCTCCACAGATTCTCAAGGACCCATCAGGCTTTATGGGGGTGACAATTGGTGTCTCCCATCGGGCGTGGTCAATGGGCTCTAACACGCCTTGTGCAATTAATTTGTCCAGTTGCTCGTCAATTTTGGGTTTGACAGCAAAAGGAACTCGGCGTGGTTTTAGGCGAATGGGCGCAATGTCAGGGTGAAGATTAAACGAAATAGGGGACCCTTGTACTTGCCTAACTTTTCGCTGAAAACTTCTCGGAAGTCGTGGACGAGGGCCGCTTCCCAGTCATCGTCTTCAGTATGATGGATGCCAGCCATTCCGATTCCTAATAGCGCGAACCACTGAAGGCCCAGTAGACTTAGCCGGTCTTTGTCTACAATGGTGAGTAGTAGTATTGCATTATGTCCTTTGAAAGAGACCTGGAAATGGCTGGTACCTGCGACTGGAATCCGGTTGCCTTGATAATCTTTCAGTATGAGTCTCTGACTGCTGAGGTCTTGGCATCGGATGTTGGGAATCAGTTGCTTGAGGGTTTTCCAGGATACCATGGATAGTGAGGATCCAGAGTCTACTTCCATGATGCAAGTTTTATTTTCGATGGTGACTTCTACACGAATTTTCTTTGCATCTAGCGATGAAGCGTGGCCAATGGTGATGGTTTGATGAGCCTCTTCTCATCTGGGCATGCCATTAAACCTTCGGGGTCTGTTGTACTGGTTCCACTGGTTGCTAGGGTGGTCCCTCTGTGTGGTGGGGTTGCCATTGGTTCTTTTCGAGCTGCTCCCTCTCCGTCTGGGGCTGGATTTTCTTTTGTTTCTGCATACTTTAGCAATATGCCCACGTTTTTCGCAAAAATGACAAATGGCGTCGAAGAATCTGCACTCGGATCGAGGATGGTTCCCACCGCATCTGGCGCATTGGTAGTTGGGTTTACGACCCCGCTGGTCCCATTGCTCACATTCTGACTGGAGCCTGTGGACTTCTTCCTCCTCGCTGTCTGAGGATGACTCGACATCTTCATGATGGGTGGCCAATGTGTACTTGTCTGAAGGCTTCCCAGCATCGTTGGTGGGTTGGCGGTTGGTTCCACTGGTTCGGCGCATTTGTGCTGCTGATTTACGAGTGGCTTCAGCAGTGGTGGCATCTGCTATGGAATCTGCAAGTGAGATGTCTCCTTTGGCCATGATCTTGCTCTGGACAGTTGGATCTCTAAGGCCAAGGACAATTCTGTCTCTCATGGCTTCTTCGAGATTAGCAAAGCCACATAAACCGCCCAGGTTTCTCAGGTCTGCCACAAAATCCCCGACCCTCTCACCTTCACGCTGGTCCCTCTGATAGAACTCGTGTCTGCGAATGAGAGTCGGTACTGCGGGGGCGTAGTGGTTGCGCAGGATGGGAGCAAGGGTGTCCCAATCCATCGTTTTAACTTCAGCTGGTTTTGCTAGTGCTTTAGCCATTTTAAAAACGGCAGGTCCGCAATGCGTTAGAAAAACGGCTTGTTTCTTGCTGGGCGTGGCATCCTTGAGGTTGTTGGACTCTAGGAACATTTGAAACCTGTCCATATATGAGTCCCAGTCCTCGCTAGCTGGATCGAATGGGGCGGGTGGTGTAGCGCTGCTGGCCATGTCGCCGATGTTGCGCTCTGTCAGCCACTTGCTCCTTCAGCTAGCTCGAGTTCAGTAGACTTCGTTGCATCTGCATCCCATCCTCGTCGCCAGTGTTAGATCTGGGAGGATGGTTCAAGAACGGAGGCAAGACTCAGATAACAACAACAGCTCTTTATTAGTGACTTCAGATCTGAGCAAAGAATCCCAGCCGCAGCAGCCCCTTACATAGGGCTGGCTGCGGCTAGGCAGCCAATGAAGGTGATTTGAGTTTGCCGCTCTTGGCTGGGCCAAGAGCGGCAGCCCATTTACTAGCCAATCGCATCAGTCTGTGGTGACCAATCACGATCTGCTATTCGTGGGCCAATCAGAGTTGCAGGCTTTCGAGCCTGCTAGTCCGGAACAATATGTATGCCAACCTTATGCAATTTGGCATTCACCAGTTATGTTGGACTTCAACACCTATAATTCCCAGTCAGCCTGGTATTGGTTAATGACCCCCATCATTTCTGATAGATATTTGTGCAAGAGTGATCTATTATTTTTCCTTGAGCTCATTGCAGGAGAACCACATCATTTTTGAAAAACAACAAATATCACTAGAAAATGCCAGCGATGCTGACCATTTTTAATAATGTGGGCATTTCTCCATGGTTGGTGATGCAAGGTAATGAGGCTGACAAACAGAAGCAGGATGGGAGGATGTGTCTTAAAATGCAAAATTGATTTGACAGCTCTACCAATTATATTTCTTTGCCCTATGACAACAATTAGCTGCAAAGCAAATGTATGTGGACATATCTCAAAGATGCTGTTTTTAGACGTTTACTGTGCATAGGGCACACAGGCATCAGTAGCAGTTCTAAATTATTTTACTAATGTCCATTTCCTCTGATGGCCTCCTATTCAGACATTGAAATATTGGAGATCATCTCCGCTGGGACCTTCCTTCATGTTTAGCCTGCCCTCTACACTGGGGCAGGAAAGCTAATTGCTACAGAGCAAGCAGATGGCTTTATGAAAGTTCAAAATGACAGCAAGCCTCTGTTGGTAAATTATACTCCAAACCAAACCTTCTCCGCCTTTCAAGGGTCAGATGAAAATTCCTCATGGTTAACACTAAGCAGATTTTGCTATTGCACAGATAGAGAGGAATGTTTGAATTCTACTCCGCTGTGGGTCAGTCCAAAGACAAGCGTTTGTGTTCCATGCCCCAGAGAGATAGGTTGTCCATTTTTATGACGATAGTTCAAGATGTTGGTTATGTTAATGTGGAAAACAGGCAATTAATAGGCACCATTGATCTTTAAATAATTTGCAGGCTGTCACATAGATGATGGAGAAATAAATTAAAAGTACACCTTGCCAAGAAAAAGTTTTTTTTTTCCATGCATGGCATGAACTCTTTGACTGTGGACCTGATTCTTTTGGATCATGTAAGTTCTTCTTTCTTTCATTTTCCACATTTGCTTATTAAAACTGACATAAAACAAAACCTGTAAAAATATACCAGTTGTTTGGAGCTTTTAAAAAAAATAACAGATATAAAGATGTTATTGTCTTGGATTCCCCCGCTTCCTCTTCCACGTTCTCATCCTCTTCCATGTTCTCTTCCACATCCTTTACCTGCAACTACCTCCTTTTTTTTGGATTTGACTTTTGGTTCAACAGCCAACCAGCAAAGTATCAAAGACAAACTGTCTGGCAGAATAAAATATCTGATATTATTGCCTTGAATGTTGATGTCTCCAACTGGACAGGTTCTCTGCTCTTCGAAGTCATCTTTACAGCTTTAAGATGGGTATTCATGCTGACATCCACTCCTGTTCCATGTACCCGAGTCCCATTTTTCAGTTCAATGGTGACAATTTCATGACTAAGTTTCATAAGAACCTGCATGAGTTTCATGGCAGAAAGCCAATAGGTGCAATTTGAAGCGGCTAAACCAGATACAGAGGGCTCCCCGAAGGTGAGAAACCAAAAGGAATGATGAAAAATTGAGCTTGGCACAGCCACCTCAAACTAGGCCACTTCCATTACTTGTGAAGGGAAGCTGCTGTAAGTTCTTCTCCCATGAGCTGTTCAGAGCATCCAGTAGTGGTAGGTGCTTTAGTCTCTGCTTTAGGCTGGGCTTAATTTGTGGAACACTCCTCGTCCTCCATGGGACTCCTCCCCAGCATTCCCCAGTTTTGGCTCAGCCTCGTTGGGGATAGGCAGTGCTTTTTGTTCTTCCTTGGCCGAAACAGGAGAATTATTCAGCAGGTTTGGAAATAGTCCAGTTTGTTTTTTCAGGCTTTTAGCCTCCAAATCACATTACGATCTCCTGATGTTAGCTCTCTCCATCTGGCTGTCAGAGATCATTTGCATTTTCAGGCCATGTCATTTCATGCCCCTAAGTGGCAGGTGGCTTCGGCATCGCTCTGAGCCGCGCCCCCCGCAGCTGCTTGTTCTACCCCCTGCATTGTGATTCCGCATTGCCTTATTCTACATCGGCAATAGCTGTGTGGGTATTTTTGCCCTCATCCAAGTTGTATCATTTGCTTTTTCCCCTCAGAATGCTATGTTGGTGTGGAAAGCATAAAAGCTTAATTCTTTCCCCCCCTTTCCGAGCTGTTTTTAGCCACAAGGAGAAGCCGTTGGAGGCATTTTCTCCATGTGGCGGGAGTTTGTTGCTGGGAAGCACACATACCAAAAAGTAACGGCCATTGTTTTGTTGTTGTTTTAAAGACCGCACTATCTGTAACTCGAGCTGTGTGAGGTAGTTTTCCTTCCCAATCAGAGGTTTCTCTTTAGGTAACCTAGGGAATTATTATCATTTTCTTATTAGATTCAAGGCCATCTGAAACAACTATTGTTGGCTTAACCCTCACAGCCTTACCCACCCAGAGGCACAAAAGTAGTAGCAACGTTTCGGCAGAATCTCATCTGCCATCATCAGGCTTTTGTATTGTGTTCATCTATGAGTCAGACTTTTACAGTTGTTTCAGTTTTAAATTTGGGGCTAGCCTACTGCTGTGCCAGAATGGTTTTTTCTTCATCCTGATTGGTTGGGAGTCTTGGTCTGTGTTTATTGGTCTTGAAGTTTGCTGTGTTCTGCTTGATTGGTGTTTCTAATATCTTCTGTCTGTTTTGTAGCTTTTTTTGTCTTGGTTGGCTGGCAACATTGTGTTCCTGTATTGGAGGCTTTTAGTGCAGTTTGGCTCTGAATAAATGGATTACTATCATTTGTTAGGAAGCTAGGTTTCCTGGTTGTGGTGTGTTTGAGCTGGAGGTATCAGGGGGGATCTATTTGTGCCCAGGTATTTGCTTGGCTTGTGGTGTGGAGATTTTTTTTGTTTGTGAGTGCAGGCTTCCAGATAATTGACAATCTGGTGGAGTCATCTCTTCTATTCATGCTTTCAGGTCTTTTTTCAATCTCTATGGCTTCTCTAATGATTCTGTGGCTGGGGTTTTCTATAGTGGCTAGGGTTTTGATGCCATTGAAGTTGATGCTATGACCTGTGGCTTTCATGTGTTGGACTAGTGAGGAAGTGTGTTCCAGCTTTTTTACTGCATTTTTGTGTTCATCTAGACGGGTACTTGTTCTTCTATTGGAATGTCCAATTTATGTGGCAGGGCATGATGCACAGGGGACTTCATATATGCCTTGGTTTTCCAGGTCAATTTTATCTTTGGGGTTTCTTAGGATGGCTGCTATTTTTCTGTCTGTTTTGAAGGCAGTCTTGATGTGATGTCTGTGAAGTACCTTACTGATTTTGTCTGTAGTACCTCTTACTTCGGGCTGGACAGCTATTCCATAAGTCTGTTCATCTCCTAGGTCTCCATTATGTCTCAGTATGTTTTTGTGGATCAAGCTGGTGGTTTTGCTTTTGTGGAAGCTGTTAGCTGTCAGTACTTTAGTCAGGGTGCATAGTTCAGTCTTAATGTGTGTCTTGTCTGCCAGGCGTTTGGTTCTGGCGATTAGTGTTTTGGCCATGGAGTTTATCTGTGCTGGGTGGTGGTGGGAATCGGGAGTTGAGGCAGTGTTTGGTGTGTGTTTTCTTCTGGTATATGGTGTGTCCTAGTGTGCCATCTGTTTTTTTGTAGATTAGTCCATCTAGGAATGGCAGTTGTTCGTTTGTTTCCGTTTTCATGGTGAACTTGATTTTGGGTTGTGTGCTGTTTAGGTGTGTTAGGAAATTGTTTAGGTTTTCTTTTCCATGGGGCCAAATCACAAATGTGTCATCGATGTATCTTAACCATAGTTTGGGTTTGTGAGTGGCATTAGCTAGGGCTCTGGATTCAAATTCTTCCATGAACAGGTCTGCAATGACGAGTGACAGTGGTGATCAATTTGCTTGTATCTTTGTCCTTTGTATATGAAATATGTGTTGGTTAAGCAGTGTTCTGCTAGTTCCGTGAGGTGTTTAGCTGGTTGGTATTTATTTTTGATGATTTCAAGAGTTTCCTTTATCGGGGCTTGAATGAATAGTGAAACCACATTGAAACTTACAAGCAGATCTTCTTGCAAAAGCAACAAATAAGATACCCTGGAATTGAAACTATTAAAAAAAAACCAATAACGTTGTTCCCTAAGAAGATTTTTAAGCTGCAAAGGAGAGAGAAAAGGGAAAAGATTTTGGGTTTTTTTTCTCCTTTTCCTATACTGACAGCTAAGAGACTTAAGCAAGAAATTGGAAAAAAATCCACTTTGACATTAATAGGCATTTAATGCTGGAAATAAAAAGTCAAAGAGATAATAAAGATTTCTGGATAATCAAAAGCTTTGAAAGCAGGAAAGGAGAGAAAAAGAATAAAAGGGCAGGATCTGGAAGGGACAAGACTGCCTGGAATTAAAAAGAATTTACAGCAAAATCTCAACAAGACTTCCCAAAGATACATTTTAACTGAAACATCGCAACAAAAACCGCAGGAAGAGAAAGTGGAAAATGAAATAAGAAGAAACAGCTTAGGACTATTTGGATTACTTGATGATCTCTGGATTTTTGGTTATTGTATTTGAATGACTAAAATCAATCGGGTGGTTGTTTAAAACTGTTTAAAATGGCTCCACTTTTAGAAGAATTGAAAATGGAACTTAAAAAGTACAAAGAAGATGCATAAGAAGGGAGAGGTTCTTTTGGCTTCGTATTTCAGTTCTTAGAAATTGAGATTTGGAATATGAGAAACAACAAGAAATGCCTGCAGAACAAGAAGATTGGGACAAAGAAGAAGCCATCTTTAATGAACAAGTAATCTTAGGTGGGGGGAAAAAAGGAAAGAGGGGAAAGAGAATGGAAAGTTTAAGATTGGGAAAAATACCCCCCCCCCCAAGAAATAGAGTGAAAAATAAGTATAAATCAGAAAGCAACAGAAGAGGGAAATGCAGAAGAGTGAATTAGAAGTAGAGACAAGGGGGTGAAAAGGAGAGGGAGAAGATGAGAGGGAAGAAAGAAAGGAAAATAAGTTATAAAGGACAGAAACAAAATATAGAGAAACAAGGTCTATTTAGAGATAATGGGTGAAAATTTAATGGAAAAAGGGATTCTGCAAAAGTACATAAGATAGTATTGTTATATTAGAAATAGAAATAATTTTAGAAAATATGCAACAATGTATGATTAAAATGTTTGATAAAATAGCTATTGTAATTCAGTGGAATGCTTCTCAATAAATAAATGTAGCAAAATGAATATTTAATGATTTACAAAACATGTGAAGAGAAATAAGGGAAAATTAATTATGGAGATTATACATGTCTTTAAGGAAATATGATATTTAATTGAAAAGAAGTGTTAAAGATGTTTAAGACTTTAATGATTATTAATGATAGAACTGAATTGGAATGGAATGAGAGTTTATAATTACATATATTTATAATCCTTTTTAAAAAAAGAATATAGTGTGTATTGTAAGAATGTACCAAGCAGAATTTGATTGGAAGTTATGTATTATGTATTACATTGAAGTTCATAACCTTAAGGTATATATTGAAGTTTAAATAAAAGTTGAATGGATGTAATTAAAAGATATAAAGGTGTCATACTCCAATTAGTAACTACAGGAGAAAACTTGTTTAATGAGAAAAGATAATATGAAATTGAAACAGAACAGACAAAAGTATAAATATAATGATTTGAATTGAGATGAGATAATCAAAATAAAATTGAGAAAATTAAAAGAGGGGAAAAACTATATAGAAAATGTAGAATAGTATAAGATATGGAATAGAACACAAAAAGGAGAATTAAATTGAGTTTTGTGTCTGTATAAAGAAGTTCAACCCGGGACCATGCTATTTTCAAAAAAGATGTTTTACTTGTATTTTGTATGTGTGAAAACTCCCATAAAACTTTATTTTTTAAAAAAAAGAAAAAGAAAAACAAATAGATTAGTGTGCAAGAAAGGCACACGGGGCCTCAAAGGACTTTTTTTCCCAGTCCAGGACTGTCTATCTCTTCCCATCCTCCTCCTCCCCTAGATCTCTCATCCAGGTGCAGCTTGGTTCCCCAGAGTCAACAGGCCCAGTTACCTGGAACACCGACCACGCAAAGGGCTCCTGAAGCTACATTCACTCCAATGGCTGCTGGTCTTCGACAGGACGATATTCTTCCAGAGGAAGTTCCAGAGAGAATGAAGGCGTGGATGGAGCTGGCAATCCGCCAGGGAATCACAGCAGGTTTTTAAAACACAGTTCTGACCAGGGAACATCCTGTAACCACTGATTATGATTCTCAATCGCTAAGGTCGTTGACCAGGTCGGAGTAACACTATACCCAGATAACACAGTTACAGAGGGAAGCACCCCTCCCAGGGCTGATGGAGGAAGAGGAGGTGGAAGAAGTGGATCAAATTGATCAAATAGAACAGATTGAATCAGGATCAATACATAACAGTGACCTGGCCCTGTTGGAAGTGGAACCCTTAGAAAGGGATGTCTGAAGATAAGGGCCTTGTTCCTGATCAACCTGTATTTACAGGCTTATTCCACCCACAACTATTCAGATCACTCTTGTTTAAGGCAAAAAACATTGCATGCCT